CGTGCAGCTGTCGTACGCAGACACAAACCCCATGCTGTCGGACCGGGACAAGTTCCCCAACTTCTACCGCACCGTGCCCTCGGACAGCGACTTCAACCCGGCCCGGCTGGCACTCTTACGTCACTTCAACTGGACAACGGTCGCCACGCTCTTCCAGGACGCCAAGCTGGGCCGGGCCAGATACGGATATGTGAGTAAATAACTTGTTTTATGTAATCAGATACGGATATGTGAGTCCATGTATTGTTTTACGTGACTAGTTACGGATGTTATGTGAATCCATAACTTGTTTTATGTAACCAGATACGGATATTATGTCAATCAATAACTTGTTTTAAGTAACCAACACGGATATGTGAGGCCAGGACTCGTGGTAAAATGTTTTGAAAAGACAGATTCGGATATATACTGACGAGCTAAAGAAAGTGGGCACCCTACGTTCTGTGCATTATTTCCGTTCTTTACCGTAGTAATGCCGTATTGCCAATGAATTTTGAAAGGTTTGCCATTTTTTCAATAAATGCAGACCAAAAAAAAAAAACCTAAGAAAGACGATCAAAAGCACACCTTTTATTAGAAATTAATAACGCCGATTCAAATGTCCAAAATCCCAGAATTAGTAACGGGTGTAACTCTCACCAGCATTGATGACTACAGTGCATCTCCGCTTCATTGTTTGAACATGTCGTTAGATAAATTGCTGGGGAATATTATTCCAAGCATCTATTAATGATTGCTGCAGTTGTGGGATTGTCGTTGGGTATGGCCGAAGGGTGCGAATTTCCTTGTCCATCTTGTCCCAGAGGTGCTCAATCACGTTTAAAGCAGGGGATAATACTGGCAACTGTGTTATAACACGTACGTCATTTCTGTTGTAAGAATCTCTGGGTAACACAGGCACGGTGTGCTGGTGATTTGTCCTGCTGGACCACGAGATTGTTCCTGTGGCGAGCCAGAAACGGCAGAAGGTGTGGATGGAGAACGTGATTGATGTATCTCTCGGTAGTCAGATTACCGTCGATAATAACTAGATCGAATTTATCAGTACTGGTTATGGATTCCCATACCATAATGCTACGGTTTGTCAGCGACAGTACTGACTTACTTACTTACTTACTACCAATTACGCCATCTGGCGTTTAGGGCAGCGACAAAGGATCTCCAGCTCTGTCTGTTTTGGGCCATCTTGGTCAGCGTTCCTCACGAATGATTCCAGGACTTCATTTCAGACTCTACTGTGCGTCTCCAGGTCACTTTGGGTCTGCCTCTTTTGCGACGTCCTTCGGGTGTCCAGTGGAGGGTAAACAGCACTGACACACTGAGATAAATAACGTTCATGACGTCTCCGGTAGACTTTCTGCCTTCCATCGTGGCGATCCTAAAGAAATCTGGACTTGTCAGAAAACATCACTCTGTTCCACTCTCGATTTAGCCATCGCTAGTGCAGATGTGTCCAGTTGAGTCTGGCATGACGGTGTCTTTGGAGGAGACGAGTGTGTCGAGCTGGGTGTCGGGCAACGATTCCGTGGGCTTTCAAGCGTCGGCGAACGGTGAAGCGGCTGATTGGTCTATACCCAGGCCAATCTCTGGCAGTTTTAGAAGCTGTTTGAAACCGATCCCACAAGTGTGGAACTCTGTGATCCGATTGTCTTCAACAGCAGTAGTGACAGGAGGATGACCAGACCTTGGAGTGTCACTAATCGAACCACTTGCTTGGAAGTGTATCCTTAGCTTTTGGATCGTATTTCTCTTCTCATTGAAAGCTCTAGCGACAGCAGAAACCATCGCTGTAGCTCTCAGCATGCCAAGAGCTTCAAGACGTTGAGCATCACTGAGACGAGGCCTGGTATAAAGCAAAATTGGAAAGTACATACCCAAAATGTTTGACGGCCATTTTGCTTACCCACGTTGAAGTGTGTAACTAAAATAGAATGAAAGTAAAGGTATTGTAAACTTTCAAGAAAAAACGAGAAAACACTTTTTATAACAACAAAATTAATAAATGTTGTTCTGACCGACTTTTTGAAGTGACTCAAGCTCAGCATGCCAATCGCCAAGTCAAAAATCGCTAAACTACTCATACAGCCCCGATATGAAAACTGCCCACTTTCTATTGCTCAACGGTACATGAACCCACAACGTCTGACGGTTTTATATTTTGAAATCCCCCCTCCCCTTTTTTTACACACGCGCGCACACACACA